GTATCTTCAGTAAAATATTTATCTATGGGACACACAATTTCTGTCCGCGCCGGTATCTCAATTTTATTTATACAGGGTAATTTAATTTTTAAAGGAATGATATGTTCTTCGTGATTATAAAAAATACTTAAAGTCCAGGTAAATTTTGACAAAAAATCTCTACCTATTATACCATCTGTTAAAATTGGAAAATCACCACTTACTAATAGCCATAGTCGTGCCAAAAGTTTCAGTTTTGTTCTTTGTTATGCCACCTATTTGACATTTAGTTTTGGGATTGTATGTTTGATGAGAATTTACGCAAGGGATTTTGCAAAGACTAATGTCTGCTCCGGTATCTATTAGAAAAGTTGTGTGTCATTTCGCAAAATATCTCGATATAATTTGTGTTACCGGTAGTTAGAAATATTAGTTTTCTGTTATCGTATCCAACTCCCTCATAGCTCTCTGATTTGATCGAGAGAGTTGGTCTTGACAGTTCAACGTTTTGTGTGTATATGTACCAAGTAGGTATTACGACGATATGATTGTCGACCACATGTGTATTGTCCACGATTAAAATATCTACCTCTGTATGAGTTATTGCTATTTATGTGTCCTCTAAATTGTTGGTTGTAGTTGTTTCGAGAAACATTATTGGAGTTATTGTTATCTTCGCTTCTATTTCTAGTATAAGTATTTGGTCTACTTCGATTACCACGTATATCACGATTATTATTTCGATATCCGCTACTAAAAAAAAAATTTCATTTGACCGTGGAAAACATTTTGAGTGTTTTGAGGATTAAATGATTGAGAAACTTCAGCTTCTAATGCTATTTGACTCTTGACGCTAAAATAACGGCTCTAATATCCTTATTGAGACCATTTTTGAAAAAATTTAATGCCTCTTGATCATTTAATTTTATTATTGTTTCACGAGCTTCAATGCCTTGTGATGATATATTTATTTTATTTAAATCCGTAATAAGGGCTTCTATTTCGGATGCGTATATAGAAATTGGTTTTGGGCCATGTTTGACTTAATTCTGAATGAACCGACACGAGTGTTTTCATTGGTTTAAAACGATCGGTTATAGTTTTCTTTAGTTCGGCAAAATTTTTAGGATCGCATACAAGAGCATTTTTTGCTTTATTTTTAATTTTTGTTCTTAAAATAAAAGTTAATAGTAATTGATAATTTGCCTCATCTTTTAGAGAATCATTGTAATATTCGGCAGCATCGAGAAAATCAATAACTGTATCAGGTTCACCGGAAAATCCTGGAATAACATGTGAAGCTACTTTAAAGTCAAATTCCATTTTGATAACTATCTCTTCAGATACGTCTTTTAAATTCTTTTTAACTAAAGTAGATGATTGCTCAAATGCATTAGTACTTGTACTAGGTCCCTTAAGACAAAGTTGTAGTAAATGATTAATTCTGTTTTTAGAATCATTTAGTAACGTAATAAATTTAGTTTTTAAGTCATTTATAATTAATTGATCTGCAAGACTAACAGTTTTTCCTATAGAATTATATGTTTCTATATATTTTGTCTGCAGGTTTTTTATTTGATTTAATTTTTCTAAGAGACTTGATTCTTTATATATTCTGTTAGGACCCCCTTTCTTTAAATTTTTGTTAATTATCTCAATTTCTTCTGATAATTGTAGAAGAAATTGGTAGGAAGTCATAAATATAAAATAAAGTCATAAATCATAAAAGTCATAAATACAGAAAAAATGATCTATAACTAAAACTAGAATATAATTGCACTGTTCACTTCACTTTAATCACTTGACTTACTTGTAAACTCTGTGACGATGTTCGGGTCGGATGAAGATGAAGTCGGTGGTGCTGACCTGGTAGAAGTCGGTTGTAGAAAATTTTTTTATCTGCATTTCCATATTGGATGATGATGTTCTGAATAGAAAACTTCACTTCACTTAATTCAACAGTTTTTCTTTTTACATTTAAATGTTTTTTCTTTATTTTCACTTAAATTTTTTTCTTTTTTTTTACATTACTGCTCCTTTTTTTAGTAGATAGTTTAACGATGGAAGTTGCCTGTGCTCTTATGTCCTTTATTACATTCCCAGTAATTCGTTTTTTAAACGTTTTCATGCAACAAAATATTGCAAAGCCGCAGATCACTAGTAGTGCCAAAATTACTATTGTTCCGGAGATAATTATTGCTGAGTAGATTTGAGGATTAGTGCTACCATTATTTTGGTTCACTAAAATTTCTTCCTTAGTATTTTGATTCCCCATTTTGCTTGATTTAGAACTTCACTTGCAAATGCACTACATCCTGGAATCTTCTAATTACTGGAATCTTCTAACAAATCTTGGGCAGGATCGCCATGTGGTATTAACTTTTGGTTTAAGGTATATTTTGATGGAAATTAATAGAGAGTTTGAGTTAGGACTGATTTTATTTTCTATAACTACAATAATGTAAGGTTAGCTGAGTAAGAATAATGTATTGTCATCGCTCACGCGACCGGATCTAGGATCTTTGACCCATCGCGTATTGCATTTATTGCAAAGTTGCAAATAGCGGTTAATAACAGTACAGTGTATACTTAAGCCATTAACACGAAGAAAAATTAATTCAACTTTCTCTTTTGGATTAAATGATTCATCTTAGCAACTCAATTAAAACGTTATTTTTATAAACATTCAAATGCAGGAGCTTTCAGATAACACAATGACAATACAATAATGATAGCTCCTTTGAAACAACACAATTTTTTTAATATTCAAGGCCTACTATTGCTATTTTAGCTTCTTTTAGTTCCTGCCGACTGCAGATCATTTTCGTTGTTTTTACTGATTGTTCGAAAACGGCTACTACAATAAGGAAATGTGACATAACATTTTTTATTTAGAATTTGAAGGTTTGTAAAATTATGTTAAAAAAATACGGTGTTGCCATTTAAAAAATATCGATTTTGTAGCTACTGCAGAAATCTGGCAACACCGGAAAGAATTATTTGTAAATTTTTCTTAATCAAGTTATTTCCTACAACTTTGCATTTGGAAGTATAAGTCTAACAGTTCAAATAAAAAAGTTATCCTATGTCAGGTTTTAAAAAAATAGCAGTGTATAACAATAATTTGCTTTAAATTAATAACAAAAATTATTAACAACCGTTTTTAAAAACGCAAGTACAATTGAGAAGAAACCTTTAATAGTAACACTAGAAAAGTTACCTAAATATCCTTTGTCGTCGAATAAATGTTAATTTTCCCTCACAATCAATTCAGAAAAATTGTCATCACTAGTTTTTTCGACTCCTGCTATTAAATGAGATATTTTGTTCTTGGGCGTTATGCTATCCTCTACATATCCTGATGTAGTATCACTCTTCCATTTTCCATGTCTTTTCAATATTATCATATCTCCACATACATCTACGAGAAGAGTTGCTGATGTACGCAAACAATGACCTGTGTACATATTAGCATCTATCGAGAGCTTGACCAATAATCTCTTCCTAATCCTCCAAAAACACCCATTACTAGAACAACCTACAATAACAAATACCTATTGAGCACATGCAATAATGTAGCCAATTAGTTCCTATATTACCTTTTCCAAAAGATATGTATGACTTGATGCTTCTCTAATAAATTTCAAAATATCCTCTCTTATCAATATCTTAGATTTTTTATAATAAATCCTTTCGATATTTGCTTCAAATAAGCCTCTAATCTTCTAATATTCTCCGATATTTACTTTTCTGTACACTAATAATGTGGTCTTCAACATTGAATACTTTGTCCACAATGTCCTGAATGATTCTGACTAAAAGATATATAAAAAATATAAATTATCAAAAATTATAAATATTTCTTTTAAGTGATACAAGGTAATACACAGCAGTTCTTGGAAATATCCTATTAATATAGTTTAACTAACAGCTGTCACTGAATTTTTGCTTGTCCAAGTCTCAAAACGTTTATATTCTTTATCATAAAGTAATTTAGATTTCTTAGGCAGTAATTCTTCATTGGCTTTATTGTCTCTAGCAGCAACTATTGCTGGATTGTATGCACTACAGGAGATACTAGGGTGATTATGCTTAGTCGACTTGCTTTCCTGTCAACCAACCTGTCGCCTGCGGGCATAATTATCCCTGTATCTCCCTTGGTACATAAATAACTATTTCAGCCTTTATATCTGTACCAGACGGAAAATAATAGCATACTGGTCGCAATTTTTAAATCTTGTTATACAAATTCCTGTTAAAGAGAAGCATGTTTTTGTAGGAGTTCATTGTAATAACCAGAGAGCGAACAATTTGTGTCTTTAACCTTGAACATAGATATGTCATTCATAAACCTAGATACATTATCCATGACGCAGTGGCGTGTCGGGTATGCATCGGAAATTTACGTTATAATTCACGAAAATTCCACGGTACATACATTTTTAGGCGTTATAAAATATTTAGAAAATCAGAAATTGTATACTACATATTTATTAAATAAAATTCGGTTAAAAATAGTGTCGTTCTTTTAATTGGAAATTAGGAGTTAATGTAACGAATAACCTCAGGCGACGCACATGATAGCATAGTCCAACTCACGCTCCATTCATAACAGGGCTGCAGTTTGAATTCTGACCAATAGGAATTCGATAAACGCAACCGATGTCGACGGATGGACTAGAGATGGGCGCGAGTGTCATTTCATTCCTTTAGAACTAAATTAACTTAATTTTTTTCTCGTTATTTAACCTGTTCACATGATTTATGGATTTTAAATAAAGGGTACAAATCTTCGCGAGGATAATATGATATATTTGCTATACATAATAATTATATTTTGCATAGTTTATACACAATTCATTTTTGAACGCGTACACATCTCTACCAAAATTTGACCTATTCTTCGGGTTAAAGACACACATTGCCCGCTCTCTAGTAATAATACAAGAAAACTTGTCGTAGTTTCAATAGCACTGAATACTTAAATTTTTTTATAATTATTTCGTTAATATTTATTTTAGGAGCAAAATGTAGTGATATTCCTAAAGTTAAAAATGGTTTTATTACGGATACGTCTAGGCAGTACTATTACAACGATGAGGCTAGGGTTCAATGTTTCAAAGGCTACAAATTAATAGGAAATGCCATTATAAGATGTGGTTCAAATAAATTATTCCATAATATACCCAGGTGTGAAGATATTAACGAGTGTATAAATAGCCAATGTGACCTTGTATCAACAGAATGTATAAATAGTCATGGATCGTTTCATTGTAAATGTCGGAAAGGATTTGAACCCACCGAAGAATGTAGACCTGTTGGAGATTTAGGACTAGTAAATGGTGGAATTCCTGATGAATCAATAAGTGTTTCCAGTAGTGAATCTGGATATGACAAAACAGTATGTATATTTAGATAGATATAGATATAGATTTATTCATTTATTTTTGGGTTTATCCCTTTTATATTTATAGATGATTCGATTAAACAATGCCGCTGGATGGTGCGGTAATACTGTTGAAGGAGGCTCTAATTGGATACTTATTGACTTAAGAGCGCCAACTATAATTAGAGGGTTCAGAACAATGGCAGTTTCTAGATATGATGGAAATTTAGCATTTACGTCAGCAGTTCGAATTCAATATACTGATAATTTAACAGATGTGTATAAAGATTATAGAAATCCTGATGGACTTGCAGTAGAATTTACTATTGAAAAACCTACTCTTTCAATACTAAATTTACCAGTTCCAGTAGAGGCTCAATATATCAAATTTAAAATTCAGGATTATGTTGGAGCACCATGTATGAAGTTAGAAATAATGGGTTGTACTAGATTAGAATGTGTAGATATTAATGAATGCTCAGAAAATAATGGTGGTTGTCAACAGAAATGTATAAATAGTTCTGGTAGTTACTCTTGCAGTTGTAATGTTGGTTTTGAATTGTATACTAAAAACGGTACTAGTTCTTACCATATTGAGAAATCGGAAAATGGTTTACGAGATGGGGACGTATATCACATTAATAAATCATGTGTTCCTGTTTTGTGCCCTGCCCTTAATACCCCAGAAAATGGACTTATTTTATCCACCAAAGACAAGTATCATTTTGGAGATTTTGTGCAATTTCAGTGTGATTTTGGATATATTATGAGTGGATCTTCGTCTTTATTATGTACATCAACCGGTGTGTGGAATGGGACTATACCAGAATGTCAGTGTGAGTAGTATTATAAAAATTTTACTTGTACTTCTATTGTAAGTCTTTATAAAATATTTACTATCTGGCATTTATTTCAGATGCCCAATGTGTTTCATTACCTGACGAAAAAAACGAAGGGTTAAAAGTTCTTCGAAACGATGAGGATAGTGTATTAGTACCTTTTAGGGAAAATGTGACTTTACACTGTGGTTCAACAGGCAAATATTTAAGAGGAGCATCAACTGCAAGTTTTAGACAATGTGTTTATGATCCCAAGCCAGTAAGTCATTATTTAAAAAAATATTAAATATACCAATTTTTTACTTGAGCGGCATAATCACTGTACTGTAAAAGAGATATCAAGAATCTGCTTTTAAATCGTCTTCCAATTCTACTACAAATTTCTGAGTTGCTCTGCCAGTGACTAAAAAGCGTCAAAATTAGCAAAACATTTCTATATTTTCCAATTAGCTACAAAAGCTCTTTTATATTAGTCATTTTTTGACATACGTAGTAACCAAAATAAGTATTAAAAAATTGGAAAACCTCCACCCTTAAGCAAATGTGTTATATATTTTTTGCGGGTGGCCTTACAACTTCCGTTACTTAAAATACAAACACAAAATTCTACTATTAGCTTTCGTATTTTTACCGTATTAAAGGTATTAAGGAGGAATTTTGATTTGAAATTTTCAGTGAATTATAGCACTTATTTGACGAGTAAATCTGAGTATGAGATACTTTACAAGTTGACAAGACAATTAGAATGAGAATTATGTTTATCATTATCTCCGAACTTTACACGCCTGTTCAACATACAGAAAATGGCATATGGCACTATAAACATAATCACACCTTGCAAAATGCCTCTAAGAATCTATTAACACATGAATTAATCACAATTATTAAGTACTTCTTAGAAATATCTCGACAAGGATTGTTTGGGATTTAAGAATTAAAATGAGTAGTATTCCCAAAGAAAAATAAAACCAAAGTGGAAAGTAAAATTTATATTCGAGTGGCATAAAGCTTACCTGGAGGTAATTCTTGTAGATTTGTGCCGACCGGCTTTTTCCCAAATTTGTCACAACAATTATCAAAATGAACGTCTTTTTAACTATTTTAACATACGACACTACAGAAAAAATAACATTTTTTTTGCGTTATTTCAATTGTGATTACGTTGTGGTTACGTTTCGTCGACTTCAATGCTACAGTTCAAACTTTTCTTCGACCCTATATGCAACCCAAATTTTTAAATTAGAGAGGAAATAAAATTAACATAAATTAATAACACAGCCACACAAAGAAAAAAAATTTCATGAACCAGAGGGTAGATCCCATTAGTCTTAGGTTTATTAGGTCGCTGAATCCGAATATGACCATAAAACATTACTTCAATTGCCCGTTTTCCCGCTAGCACCCCCTGAAGGGGGGTAAATTTTAAATTTTCGCACAAAATTAAGATGTATGCGTATAAGTTTTTTTTGGGACGCTGAAATCGAAAATGACTACAAACAATGTTAAATTAACCCCTCTCTTATCCGCTAGCACCCCCTTACCACTCCCTGAAGGGGGTTGAATTTTAAACTTTTGTACAAAATTAAGAAGTATTTTTATTTTTTTGAGACGCTAAAACCGAATTATGATTTCAGTCCTAATCATAACCGTGTTTATTTTGCCTTTTGATATTTTGAACTTGACACTTACTCTAGACAAGATATTTTAATTTTTTCTCCGTTTGCATTTTGTTTTCTCTTTGATTTTTATGTTTTTGCTTTTCACTGGCCAGTCTTATTTACGTTTAAAAGATGAATCTAATTTTATGCCTCCGGAATAGAATTGATTCCATATCTACTTTTGCGACTAAGACACCTCCACGCGGTGAAGGCGGATAACAGTTTAACTAACAGTTCGGTATCATAGAAACAGGTAAATGCCGAATCGTGAGAGGCAAGGGGATTCACGTTAATCAAGCATCCCGAACCGTGAGAGGCAAGGGGACTCACGTTAATCAAGCACCCTGAATTGTGAGAGGCAAGGGGACTCATGTTAATTAAGCATCTCAAAGGGAACATAAACCTACCACCTCCACGCCGTTGTTCCTGGATTGCGCTAAGAGTAGAATCAAATCATAAATACATCTAAGAGTTGGATCGGTGAAATATTGACGTTTACAACATAAGAGCTGGAGGTATTCTTAAACTTGTCTAATTAACAGGTAAGTGACTTTCGATCGTTGGAATTTTGAACGTTGAGCCCATGAAAAGGAATCATTTTTTCAACATTTCTATGGTTTGGATACCGTCGAACTGATGGTGATAGTCGTCTAATCGTCCCTGGAATTTTTTGCCACCCCCCAATTTTACATAATATATAAGAATGTAATGCAGTATGATATGTTTAAATGGGGATATTAAGCTGTGCACAGAAATTAATCGTAATAATAAAAATGTAATTTAGAAATTTTACGAATGCTGTAAGTCTGTAAAACTAGAGAAGAAAAGGTAATTCCTCATTAAACAGATTCTCTAAACTAATTAAACAGATTCTCTAAACTAAAAGGCAAGTGAGAAAATTAAATTGTCCTGCATAGTGGTAGCTTTTCTTGAGCAGTGGTAACTTTTCTTGAGAAGCATTTTTCACAATTCGATTTTTCTGATTGTACTAGTTTTGTTAAATCTGTCAAGCTAACACTATTCTTTCATTACATTTTGTCCAGGTTATCTTCCAATATCCCCCCAGTTTCTGTCGCCTCTGGAGTACATCACCTCCCCCTTCAACAACCATAATGGGTACAACTCCGGCGACCCCTGTGAATTCCTTAACCAGTTCTCTTCCTCGAAATACTACAGTTCTGGTACCCACAACTGTTATAGAGATCTCTGACATTTAGGGACAGTTTCACAATGTTAGCACACTGCCAGTTAAGCAAGCTTTAAAACAGAGAATTGGTTAGGACTACCCCACTCTCATTTATTGTTATCCATTCATGGTTTAGGAGATATGTCGTCACTATTTATTTAATTAGCCATAGATGCCCCGCCCCAGTCTTACCAAAAATATGTAGTACCATACCTCCTCAATATATTTGCAATTAGAACTTTTCGAAATTATCCAATATTAAACTAGCAGGCACTAAATTTAACTCTTCTAGTGATGTTGGTATTCTTCTAGATGCCAACATATTTCCATTGATCTTAACGTCTGGTCAATTAATGAGTCATGAAAGAAAACCTACTGGTATTAATACAACTTTGGGTTGGATCCTCATGGGTAAAGTTTCATAATTTCTCGAGTTCATTTTATGGTACCTGGATTGTTGCTTGATTAGTCTATAAATTTAGGAAAATGGAAGAAATTCCTGACTTTAATGCCCTCAAGTCTTCTTTGTGAAAATTTGTTTATGGAAAATGATATTCGTGATCCATTTTCGTTTTTATGCTTTGAAAAGTCGTTCACTCTGTGATCCATCTTTACATAACTTTTACTTTAACTTATATAGTGGCTATATGGGAGAGATATCCAGTCTTTGTTCGAAATTAAACTGTTACATTCTAGATTATTGTATATTCAAACCTGACAGTACCACCACTAGGCTATAGATAGTATTTAACGCCTAGTGGAAATTGGCTGATGGTATTTCGTTTAATGAAATCTGTTGATAGGTACTAAGTTGCAAAGAGACATTATTGACCAATAGAAATAACCCATTTAGAGGGAAATTTCAAATTTTGAACACTTACTCTATAATATAAGATAAGAGTTCAGTTCAAAGTTTACGTCAATTTTGACTGATAATTTGATTTGATTAATATTTATTACTGAAAAATTCATTGTTGCAAGAGTAATTTTGAATGATTTTGAATTACGATTATAAATTTATATATATATA